TACCATTGTTAACCATCTATGAGAGGACATTTTGGTGGATTTCAGGTTTGGCTATTACAGATAGTTGCTATGAACAAATGTGTACAGGTTTTTGTGTGGATATAAGTTTTCATTTCTCTGTGACAAATGCCCAGGAGTGCAAGTATTGGGTCATATGATAAGTATATGCTTAAGTTTTTGAAGAAACTACCAAATTATTTTCCAGGATGGTTGTACCATTTTATATTCCCATCAGCAATGTATGAGCATTCATTTCTCCACATCCTTACCAGCATTTGGTGTTGACACTATTTTATTTTAGCCATTCTGATAGGTGTGTAGTGTCTTACTGTGATCTTAATTTGCAATTCCCAGATGGTCAGTGATGCTGAGCAAATTCCATGTGTTAGTTATTTATCTTCTTTGGTGAAATATTTTTTCATCTCTGTTGTCCATTTTGTATTGGATTATCTTTTTGCTGTTTAGTTTTGAGACTTCCTTATGCATTCTATAAGTTGTCAGATACGTGGTTTGCAAATATTTTCTCCCAGGCTTGTCTCTTCATCTTCTTTATCAGATCTTTTGTAGAGCGAAAGTTTTACATTTTGATGAAGTCCAGTTTATCGTTTTTTTCTTTTATGGATCATGCTTTTGGTGTAAAGTCTAAACATTCTTTGCTTAGCCTACATCTTAGAAGACTTTATGTTCTTTTCTTTCTTTTTTTTTTTTTTGAGATGGAGTCTTGCTGTCTCCCAGGCTGGAGTGCAGTGGCGCGATCTCGGCTCACTGCAAGCTCCACCCCCCAGGTTCACGCCATTCTCCTGCCTCAGCCTCCCGAGTAGCTGGGACTACAGGCGCCCGCCACCACGCCCGGCTAATTTTTTGTATTTTTAGTAGAGATGGGGTTTCACCGTTTTAGCCAGGATGGTCTTGATCTCCTGACCTCGTGATCCGCCCGCCTTGGCCTCCCAAAGTGCTGGGATTACAGGTACGAGCCACTGCGCCTGGCCGACTTTATGTTCTTTCTAAAAGTTTCATATTTTACATTGAAATCTATGATCAATTTTAAGTTTTATATATAAAGTATGAGTTTTAAGTAGAGGTTCTTAAGTTTTGCCTGCCTTATATCATACCAATTGTTCTGGTGCCATTTATTGAAAATACTTTCTCCTTTTGCACCTTTGCTAAAACCAGTTGACAATATTAGTGTGAGGCTATTTCTGGTTCTCTGTTCTATTCTATTGATCCATGTGTTTATCCATCCACCAGTATTGCACTGTCTTGAAAGAGGGTACCATGGTTCCTCTCATTTTAGTTTTTTCAAAATTGTTTTAGCTACTCTAGTTCTTCTGCCTTTCCATATACATTTTAGAATTAGCCATAGCCACAAAAAATATCACTGGGATTTGGCACAAATTGCTGCCCAGCAATTGAACTAAGTCCAGCCATTCTGGTATCAGCTAGTGGCTGTGCCATGGCAGTTAAGTTGGGCACAAAATTTTCCCCAAAGGCACAGCTATAATTTTTCAAGTAAAGTTGAGATACTGCTAGGGCCAGGCTACTGCCCTCTCAAATATATCATTTCTATGTGACTAGCAAGGCCTGTTGAAGCCTTTCCATCTGGTTAATCCTCCAATTAAGAGTTGACCCACCCTAAAGTCTAGATGTCACACCAGGAAGTCCCAAGGTTTCCATGGGTTAGGTATTCAGTTTTGAGAGCTGCACATTAATAGCTGCCTGTTTTTCAAAGTGGATGCTGTTTGGTGGTTGGGTCAGGTAGGTGGCCACACTGGGTTGGAAAAGCCCTGAGTGCTCTGACTGCCATTAAGTCAGTCAGCAATTTCCCTTTCTCCTCCTGGGATTCTGTATTGTGTCGGGAGGACCACCTAGGAGGGGTCAGAGACATGTTAGGGAGCAATTTACACAGCCCATTATTACCTCTGTACATGTGGGAGCCCTCAAAAGGGAGAATCCCACTGACAATCATCAGACAGGTAAGTGTGGGCATACAACACATCAATTCCATTGTACATTTAGATTTAGAAACCACTTTACATTGAATCACCCCAAAGGCCTCACCCACAAAGCTTCCCTTCCTTACCACAGAACATGTTAAAAAGCCTTTTCCATCACAGGAACACAGACCACAGACCAACAAGTTGAAAATGTGTGCAAGTCAGGGGCTACATGTGGCAAATGAGTGCCAGGTCACATCATCCCCCAGCCAGGAGGGTTGCAGAAGAGGCTGTCCGTGGGCAACAAACTTAATTTTCAGCCTTTTTTCTCCTTTAGCCTCTTGCTCCAGGATCAGTGCCGAAACACCGACAACTACCTCTCCTGTGGCAGTGGTGAGCCCCTACAACATCCAGAAAGAACTGGGGCCCTGGGCTTCTATTTTGTCCCATGCATACCACCACATTTTACCCTGAAGTCTTCGGCACCTTCTGTCACTCCTGCACCCAGCATCTTGCCCTCATTACTGGCTGAATCGGCTGTGGTCTGCTCTGCACTTTTAGGCATGGCATTTCATTCACTTTGGCATTTCAGCAGTGTTGCAACTGCTTGCAGCTCAACCAAATAACCTTCTGTTTTCAGTCTACCCAAGGCTCTCAATTGAACAGCAAGGTTCTTATTGATAACACCATTTATTTTACGTTTTGGGACTTGACTCAGCCACAGGAGTTGTTGACTCCTTATCTTGAAAACATCCCTTCCTCTGCCTGCCTGCAGGAGTAACAAAGCACCATTTGCACTGTTTGTTTCAATCCTACCTCTTGTTGCTAAGCCTCTAAACACTGCCTCCTGTTCATGAATAGATAGGACAGTGGGAACACTTAATCTCCACCAACCTTCACCCTATATCCATCATTAGGGTTAGAGCATTCACTACCAGATCTCAGGGAGTCTTGCATCCCAGAACCTGGCCCATGGTTCCTTTTTCAGAGTATCATGTCTTTGTCAGCATCCCATCCTTGTTGCCAAAACTCTCAGTTTCAGGATTTCACTTTACCCTACTGACAAACGAGTAAGTTAGCCTGTTACAATCTCAAGAATGCTGACAGAAGACATGAGACTCTTGGGTTAGAGGCAAAGGACTTTATCACTCATGGCACAGCCCTCAGAACGAACCTCAGCATATTTGCATCAGTTCCCCTCATCTCCAGTTTCACAGGGGCAATGCAATGGGCCTGGATGGATAACAAGCACACGGTGGGGTTCATGTTGCAGTTCAGCTAACACTGAGTGTGAGGAATCCACTTCTTAAGCAGTTAAGCCTGCTCCTTGACCACAAGTTACTAGTTACGTAAGTACTGAGATGGCTCAGGCAAAATTGTCAACAGGGCCTTGCAGTCTTGGCACACCTAGTAAGATAAGAGGCCTGACTGTATCCTCAAACAATTATCCTTTTTGTGCTTTGGCTTTGTTCACTCTCATGTATTTGTCTCTCAACCTGTTGTACACTGATGGCTCACACAGGCTAGGCACTTATGCAATAAATACTTAATGAGACAGCTGGCTAAGAGATGAAGATAGCTTGATCAAGAATATTGTCAAATTGCAGTTTCAAAGAGTGCAGAAGAATAATTCCTTCAAAAGTTTGGCCACCACTCAGTCTGTTGGCTACCTAAGTGGAACTGAGGTCCAAAGGAAACTTTTCTGATTCATCTTTAAGAACTAAGTCTACTGCCAGTTCCTAATGTAAGGACTATCACATAATATAGTCTAGAAAGAGCCACTTCTTTCTAGAAAGAAATCTTTCATTCTGGTGAGAAGGTTGTAACAACTGACAAGACAATATAATGTTGCCAAGGAGAAGACCCAGTAATTATGCCTGTAGCACAATGTTGAGATGAAACAACTTCTGGGCCAGGCACAGTGGCTCTCACCTGTAATCCCAGCACTTTCGGAGGCCCAGGCAGGAGGATTTCTGAAGCCCAGGAGTTCAAGACTAGCCTGGGCAAGATGGCAAAGCCCCGTCTCTACAAAAAATACAAAAATTAGCCGGGTGTGGTGGCATGTGCCTGTAGTCCCGTAGGAACTCACCTGAGGTAGGAAAATCACCTGAGCCTGGGAGGTTGAGGCTGCAGTGAGCTATGATCACAACACTGCACTCCAGCCTGGGCGACAGAGTAAGAATCTGTCTCAGAAGAAAATTAAAAAAAAGGAAAGAGGAAAAAAAACAATAAACAAAACAAAACAAAACTACTACTCAGTCCAAGAGCTGAGTGCATGAAAAATTTTTTCCTTTGGAGTTATTTCAGACTTAAAACACCCCCGAAGTTTGTATTATCACTTAATAGTTAGCTTCCAAGGTTTTACTCTTCAGAGATATACTATCACTGCTTTTAAATTATGATCAAACTTTAATAAATTCCAGATTTTAATAAATAACATGTAAATGATAAATATTTGAGGACTCAAAGGAGATAAAAAATGAGATTAGTAGCTGTGATGAACAACAATTAAGGAATAATTCAGCCTATGAACATTAGTAGTTAAGCTTCAGATCTACACAATGAAAGGCATAAATAAAATGACACCACTTTAAACGATTATCACCGGCAGACTCCATGAAGCACCAGCTGGGGCAAAGTCAAATGTCATGGGTTGTTTTGGTAACTCATAAGGGACACAGAAAGAGAAGCAGGCATTTTTATTCATATGGCATAAAACGTTTTTCTTTCCTAAGCAATTTCACAAAACATATCTTAAAGTTATTTTTCTATGTATTTCTATTAGAGTTCAAGAAAAAATAACATTTTTCTCCTGAAAGCTATAGTGATGTCAATAAAATGAGCACTGAAGTCATAATGTTTTAACACATTGTCATGCAGTGTTTTTGTATTTATAACTGGGATACAAAATGCTCAGTAAGTGGCTAGTGTAAAAATATTAGGCACTAATCAATTACATGTAAGAACCAAATTGATCCCATCACATTGGAGGGATTTAATCTGAAGAAAATCAGCTTTCTGACTTGGTTAAAACAAAGTCTACAATGTAATGAGACAAGATGGAAGTAGTTTAAGTAATAAATGTTTAATCAAAGAATTTTACATATTATTAACAGCATTCATTTGGCCAAACATCTACACGTTTGTAGAATCCTACTGTATATAAAGTGGGAATGTATCAAGTATAGACTATGAAAGTGCAAATAACAAGTCAAGGTTAGATTAACTTTTTTTTTTTACATTATAAAATTAACTTGTTTACAAAATAGGCTTTGCCAAACTTCATTACTGAATTGTAAAGTCAAAGACTGTGTTGTTTTTAAAATATGTACCAAGGAAATACAAATTGGATAATGATCATTTTTCATGCTCAGGAGAGAACAGCACAGAAATAAAGGATACTGCACAAGGAGCAAGGAAACCAGAACCCATTGTGTACACTATCTTCACACAGAGCATTCTTTCTCACCTTAACTGCAGTTGTGCAAGATGCCTCAATGTGATGCAAAGACTCTATATCGGAAAAATTACAACTTGGTCTAAAAACTTATTGGTGTTGATATTTTTAATCCAAAATAAATTTGTAAAAAAATCCTTTAATGGACTATTTCAGTTTAATATACAGTAATACACTGTAGATAAAGTTAATATTTCCCCCCACTAACTTTAAGAGGGATTGATATCAATGTTTCTAATCACTGGAGAAATAAAAACTAATGTGGACCTTTGATATCCATGGCATAAGAGGATTTCCACTAGTTTATCCTAAGAGGATATGGGGAATATTAAATATTCTAATATAGTGTCCTAGCAATATGAATTTTAAGTACAAGGATATTTCAAAATCAGGGTTTAGAAAAAAAAGTAATCAAAAACCATAATCACATCTCTTGTGGATAACAATACTAATATAACTTTTTACCCAGCCCAGGATTTGCCTGTACAAACTCAGAACTGAAAGTTTGGTATCTGTAGATTTCTGGTAACAATCTGGCAAAACACTAAATTGGAGGGTTGTACTTATCTATTTTGCTTATGTTATGCTAGTTTTGATAATATTTAAGTAAAACAGCCATTCCAACAGTTTACTCTAGTTTTAATTACACACTGTACCATTGTATCTTAATTACAACTAAGACCAGTATTTTCTTCACAGTAAGACACCGATAACTAGGAAGTTGATTTTTTTCAACACTAAACAGTAATCACACAGCAAATGAGTATTGCGCAATAGAACAAACACATGTCAGCATTTGCTAATTAGGCAAACAAACTGATGGAACATTTAGTTGTTATATTTAGTGTAAAAGCAAGGCCATGGGTGGTTTTATGGAGGTCTTTGCAATTCATAGCATAGTTACTTCAGAAGAGACATTGAAATTTGAATTACTCACTTATTTAACTGGCAACTATCCATTTAGGTTAGGCAAAGGCACGGTAACATGTTGCGCAGGATATTTTATTGAATTTCTTAATAATCGTGGGATTTACTATAACTCATGAAAACTCCACTTTTTTTTCTATTTTACAAAACACCATTAAAAGTAATTGCACCCATCAGTAATTAGAATGCACTGTAAAATTGTGAAAACAAATAACTATGATTGCACTTCCAATAAAGTGTCTCTTAAAATACAGCACCGCTGTTGCTAATCAACTGTATTTTAATATTAAAATAAACTGTTTTTAACAGCAGCATTAGGTTTAGTTAACTTAAGCTACAGGCTACATTTATATAAATGCAGTCTCCATGGCAACAAAAACCCATTTAATTCTGGAATATCATTGCTACCAAGTGGCACCTTTTACTCCCGAGAACGCTGACTCTGCCCTGGAGCACTCTAGGATGCTGCACACCTAAATGCCTTGTTAGTCAGCGCACAAGTCAGAGTTTGGCACAGTTGGACTGTAAATAGACATGAAAGGAAATCTTTGATTCATGTGAAATTAAAACTAATCACACTTGTGGTAGATGTGGTACTAAAGAGACTTCAATTCACATTGCTCAGACAAAAAGGAAGTAAGTTACGGAAGAGCACAAAGAGATTGAAGACATATATGTTATCGGATCTATCCAAAATAAATTTCTAGAATGAAGAAAACTTTTTTTTTTTTTTTTTAAAGGAAAGCCACCCAAAGATTAGGCAGTAAGCCTTTAGTTTAAATGTTCAATAAAGTATTGTCAAGTCTAGGCTAAATAGAGGACTGCATTTTCTTGAAGAGTGTGGAATACAACTTATTTCATTTTTGTTTCTCTTTCTCTTGCTCTTCTTTTTGTCAGCAAAAAGGGGAAAAGCTATTCAATTAAATACAAAGGAAATTCCCTGTAAGGTTAAAATAAAAAATGAAGCTACCATTCAAGGGAACTCCTTTGGATTCAACCCTAATGTCAGTGGTTTATCACTGAGTTGGAATTAAGTGAATCAAAGTCTCTATCAAGCATACTCCACCTAGCATACCATCTGTAACTGTAATTCACTTAGAGCCCAGATGTGTGCAGTTCACACTAAATGTACTTGTTCAAGCCAGTCACTTGAGGTTTGAGGTGTTTGACTTGAAACATCTGAACCATCTCCTCTGTTGGCCGCCTCATTACCACTGTCACCAGCTTGAGACACTGCTTCCTCAGCCAGAATATTTTCTTCCAAAGGATTTTCTTCTATCTGGGTTCCTCTATCTTCACTGACACTGGCATCTTCAAACACTGAATCTTCTGGCAGCACCAGTTCCACATCCTTCACACCTTCTGACCCATCTTTGATACAGGGGAGCTGGGAATCTGCACTGATTTCTGTAGTTGCTGGAGGAATCAGGGCAATACTCTGAGGGTTCATGTCATGAAACCAAGCCATGATGTTGCCAAGAAGATTGTCATTGATGTTGGGGTCCTGGCCAGCTGAGTCAGGGTCACTAGCTGAGGGACAGAAATCACTTCTTGCCTCACTGAGAGGGTGTGAACTCAGGGTGTCAGTTGAAAATGGGTCACTCTCTGCTCCTAGTCTCATGAGGCTGTCACCAAGTTCCAAAAGCTCAGAGCTGCTCAATGCAGCCCGAGGGCTATCTGTATTTCTGGGGACAGAGTCCAGCCTGGAAGGTAAAGAAGTGCCTATTGCACCTAAGGATGCTTCATTACTGAGGAAGTCTCTAGTTTCTTCATCGAGGGTCAGCCCAGACTCTTGCAGTGATAACTGTATTGCAAGAAGTATATTGGGATCATCTTCATCCAAGGAACTCAGAGCCTGAAGCAACAGAAAGCAAAACTACTTTAAAATTTGACTAAAGAAAAACTAATTTAACTCAATCAGGTTTACCACTCTTCCTTTACCAACGGATTATTAATTTTATTTATACAGAAAAATTATTTTATCTACTAAAATCTTATATTTTTCTCCATGCCCATGCTAAAGGAAAAAAAATACCTTAAAATGAATCTAAAATACAGGAAAATCTTTTCCTGCAGCACATCTTTAAAATAAAGATTTTAGAATGGAAAGAAGAAACAGGAAAGTGATGAAAGTAACAACAGGAAACCACACTCAACAGACAAACAGTAAAAGCATAGGCAATGAGGCTGCTCAGAAAGGCTACCTGAAGAGAGTCCTGGTTTTCAGAGCGACTGGCAGGGGTGTAGTCACGCAGGGAAGAGCTGTGCAGCACACTCATAGATGCAGAACTTACCACGGATGTGCCAGGCCTGCGGCTGCTGCTGCCGCCTTCTGGAATATCTGTTTCAAAGCAATTGGTACCAAAGACAATTTAGTGACAAGTAAGACTCATTTATTTTTTTCATACACCTGGTTGTTTAGATTGGCAATTTCTCTTTCAGTGCTGGGGAAAACTTGTGTTGACATGTTCACTTAATCTTTCTGGGATTTCTCATCCATATTGGTCTTAATGAGCAATAATATATATGATACTATCACTTCAAATCCATGATTTTTTTACCTTTTTTTTTCTTTTTGAGATGGAGTCTTGCTTTGTCGACGACCTAGCTGGAGTGCAGTGGCGCAATCTTGGCTTACTGCAACCTCTGCCTCCTGGGTTCAAGCGATTCTCCTGCCTCAGCCTCCTGAGTGGTTCGGACTACAGACGTGCGCCACCATGCCTGGCTAATTTTTGTATTTTTAGTAGAGATGGGGTTTCATCATGTTGGTCAGGATGGTCTCCATCTCCTGACCTTGTGATGTGCACACCTTGGCCTCCCAAAGTGCTGGGATGACGGGCATGAGCCACCGTGCCTGGCTGACTTTTACATTTTTGCTTGCAGTCTATATGGTTCTTTTCATAAATGCAAGTGCTACTATCCATTTCTCTTTTTTTGTTAAGCAATAACTAGTAAAGGTTTTTCATTTTTAGATTTCTTAAAATTAAATAATTTGGGATTTACAGTAGTCTGAAGAGCAAATCTTTAGTCCCATTGATCCTGACATTATAGTCAGAAGATTTTCACTTATTAATTTAACATTTAAAAGTTGAATAATTAAAATAATTTATCTCTAATGCCAGAAATTCTCTCTTAAATAATGTCTACAGGACAACTAAGGCTAGGAGACAAATATTCCATGAACACAAAAACAGTATCAATCAATAAGACAATTAACTGAGTGCTTCACTAGGTGCTTAAATGTTTTAGAAGCATTATCTAATTTAATACTCACAATGAGCCTATAAGGTGGCACTATTATTATTGTGTCTTTAGAATGTGGAAACAACCTTAGAGAGGCTGTGACCTAAGTTACACAGCTAATATGCAGCAGAGATAGGGTCATGAAGCCAAGTTTGCCTGACTCCACAGACCATGCTCCTAACTCCTCTGATTTTCTGTGTCTTGTCACAACAGAAGCATCTGCATATTTATTGTATATCTAAATGACAAACTCGTTCACAAACATTTATATCAGCCAGTTTGAAAGATAAATTCAAGAGAACTATGGGATTAAACCATACTCAACCCAAGGACTTACCTAAAGTGCTTTCACTTGGCTCATCAGGGTCTGGAGGATTACTGAGTAGACTGTGAACGTCTCCTCGACGACGCTGTCTGTGCCTCCTCCGATACTGAAATTCAGCATATTCCTGCATAAACCAAAGGTTATAAAATACAAGAGAGCATGCAATTTTTAAAATGCAAATAAAATAAACTACACACTTTTTTCCAGGGGAAAAAGTTTGTGATTTTATACACATCTTATAAAATCACTTGGCTGAAACATCAGGTTTTGCCATGCCAAGGAAACACAAAAGGTAAAATGGAAAAAGAAAGTTTTCAACAGTCATTACAATTGCCTAAATTAGGAATACTTGCAAGCCCCAATGCTACATTAGAACACCCCTATTTCATATGCCTGATGATTTCAAGAATCTTGTTATCTAATTAACACTACAATCATATTACTCATTTAAGTAAGGCTTTCCTTGAAGGGAGGTTTTTTATTTTTTTATTTTTAGAGTCAGGAGCTTGCTATGTTGCTTAGGCTGGTCTTGAACTCCTGGCCTCAAGCAATCCCTACTACTCGGCCTCCTAGGTAGCTGGGATTACAGGTGTGAGCCATTGCACCTGGACACAAAAGTGGCTTTAAAAAAGTGACTGGGGGCAGGTGCGGTGGCTCACGCCTATAATCCTAGTGCTGTGGGGGCCAAAGCAGGCAGATCACCTGATGTCAGGAGTTTGAGACCAGCCTGGCCAACATGGTGAAACCCCATCTCTACTAAAAATACAAAAAATTAGCCGGGCATGGGGGTGGGCACCTGTAATCCCAGCTACTCGGGAGGCTGAGGCAGGAGTATCACTTGAACCCAGGAGGTGGAGATTACAGTGAGCCAAGATTGTGCCACTGCACTCCAGCCTGGGCAACAGGAGCAAGACTCCCATCACAAACAAACAAAAACAAAAACAAAAACAAAACAAAACAAAACAAAAAAAGTGACTGGGATACATGTAACAGAAAAAGAAAAAAAGGAACAACAGTAAAAAAGAACACACACTATTAAGTAGTTGCCAGATTGTTGGATTTTCTATTCTTTGGGACTGCTACATACCATATTCACAAATCGAATAACTAGATTAAAAGACAAATGTTAGGTTAGCTTTAAAATAAGATGCTTATTTAGCTTCTTTTCTATATAAGTCAATATGTGGTGCTATTTACAACACAGGAAGGGGAAACGTTTTCTATTTAGCATATGGGATGAACACAGACTTAGGCAGATGTCCTCAGTCTATTTTACATTTGTGACAATGTTTAAAGTGAGTTTGTTATCACCAGAGGGTACAACCTGGGACCATCTGCTATTACCTGGGTATAAATGTGACAGAAGGGAAGAGAATAAAAGAGAAAGGAAGAGAAGAGAGGAGGCCAGGGTACATGATACCAACATAAAAAGGCTAATTTAGAAATCATTATGGTGTTTTTCCATGATAAACACTAAGATACTCAACTTTATGATTATCCTGGTTACCCTAGAATATTCAATATGCTTATATTGTGAAAGTACTAGGAGTAGGTGAAGACAAATTTTGTATCACAAATAAAACTTTCACATCATACTACTCTGGTGACTTTATTTAAACTTCTTCATTTATATAAGTAGTTGGACTCCTAAGAAGTGGGAGGCATCCTGTTAGGTTAGAAACTAATAAATGAAAGATACTCCAAGTGCCCTGAAGGTTTATACAGGTTCTTTAAAATGCCTTGCTGAGGTGGGGCATCATTTCCTCTTTTCCTACAGGCCCATGATCTCAAACTGATGACTTATTAAGTGTCATCAAGGCTCAACAGACCAGTGAGGAACACCAGCTACATTTCTTAGACAAAGATGGTATGAAAATTTTATCTCAATTCAAGGTTTATATTAGGGATAATTTGCTGACTTTGTAAACTTGATAATAGTACAAAGTTATGCATTAAACTATTACTGACCATAGACTATACATATTTCCAATTTAAGAAAATGAAACCGTTTAAAAGCAACTGCAAAAGAAACTTGTATATCTAATCGTCTGACAGAAAACTCTCAGATGGCATTCTCTCATGATGCAACAGGCTTAAATATATTGTTCTCATGAAATTTATCTGAAAATTTCCAAGGATTCCTAAGATCTTCAAGAATGTATATTAAAAGGGTTTAGTCAGTATACTCCAAATGGTTTGAGAATGTTAAGGATACAGAGAAGACTAAAATGTTCTAAGATTTACAGAGGGAGAGGCTGTAAGGAGCTGTTTTAAGTAATAATTGCAACAATTTTGTCAGTGGCTTAATGAGATGCTTTAATCCTAGAACTTCCATGGGGTATCACCATCCACATTGTAAAGATGAGAAATTAAGAAAGAACATAGCCTAGGATCTAATAAGTTACACTTAGAATTTGAATTCAGGTGTTCCTCAGACTTTATGCTATTTCCACTGAGCTCCACTGCCTTTAAAGTAGCATAAAACAAACCTTTATGCTTGCCAGACTCAAGTTAAATTGAAAAGAGTACAATGAAATTAACTTCACTGAAAAAAATATAAATTCAATCTAAGTCTACTAAAGTTGGTAACCTTGTTTTTTCCCTCACTATTAAGGCAGAGAGCTATTTTTCAAAAATATAACTCTGGCAGTTACTCGATAGTCATACATATGCAGAATTTGAAAGTCTAACAATGTGTAGTAATTCTTTATATCTGCAATAAGGTTTATGTAAAAGCCTAGTGTTTCAATGTGTCAAAGACTAAAGAAAACTAAAAGTAAATAATTTCTAAAAAATTATCAATTCATAAAAAATAAAGTAACAGTCATATTAGTAGGCCCTCAATATTCAAGGACAAATATTTCATGATTCCTTAAGTTTCTGTCAGAGCCAGAAGCTGCAAGATGATACACATACATGCTTGTGAATACACTGATGAAGGTTTTATTTATTTTTGCTAAATAGTGTTTCTACCTTAAAACACGGAAATCATTAGTATTTTTTTTTCTTTTATAATTTCAGTTTGCTTATTCTTCCTTTTATGTGGAAGTTTTCCACAATATCCCCGAAGCTGTAAATGTATTAAAACATAGAAATAATAAATGCAGGATCAGATAAAGGTTCATAATTAGTTTTAAAATGAAAATTTCATTAATATATCACAATTTTTAAAATAATTTAAGTGAATTTAAAATGTCCAGATCAGGGCTCTAAGCACAATTTTTTTCAAGTCAATATTTTCTTGGATGTATCTACCACTACAAAAACCACAGGTGATTGCAAGTATCTTCAGCAGCTGAAAAGAGAAAGTATCTGATTTAAACAAGCCACAGTCATGCCTGGATAATAATCAATTTCATTGTCTTTCAATTGCAGGTAACAAATGGGTTATACATTACAAACAAAGTTCTCCTCATTTGTTCTGTACCCTTCCAAAAATTAAGTTGAAGGGTTATCATATTATAGGCATCAAATACTGGTTAATAAAGAGCAAAGATGGAAAGAGAGAAGTAGAAAGAATTGCTAAAACCATTTTAAAATCAGACTCAACAATGACAGTGGCAATTTAAATCTCAGAAAACAGTTATGTGATTAAGAGTTTCACTCTGTCTTATTTTTATTTGCCACAACTGCTATCTGTAGTGTTAGTAATTTAGACCTTCTGTATTTTAAAACGGTATATTAATAATGACAACAAAAAAATAAGAAGAGTGTGAAAGTCTTGAAGATAAGCAGAAAGCAACTAAGCAAAGCATTTCTTTATGCATACACATTATTAATGTCAAGTTTTCCACTTTAGCAACTGATTATAAATCAATTCCCTCAGGTTGTTGCATTAACCTTAAAAATGGATTGTTCTTTTATATTTTTAATAGTTTCAGACTAAAACAATATTATGACTAGAAATGCATTTCTAATAAACTGTCTATTAACAAATTAGAAGATATTTTCCAAAAATGTATATTGTAAATTTGCCTTAATTCTGACTACTCAGTAATTGAAAACAATAAAAGAGTAATGCATTTAACAATGTGATGATATACCAATACCACATAAATAGCTAAATGTAGGCTCTGTCAAGGATTTTTGTTACAAAAGAAAGAGAGCACTGCTGATAATCTCAGTAGGATTTAGAATAGATAAGGATGCAAATGCAAGCACAATTGCAGTAAGAAAAAATACAAAAACAAAAACCCCATAAAACAATTACCTCTGGTGATGCAAATCCTAAATATTCCCAATCCCATGTTCCACCAGCAAAGCTACAAAGAAATTAGACATACCATTTGATTTAATATCAGTACTACAAAGTATATACAATCAGATCCTTGCCCTTTGAACATTACTTTAAATTCCTCTGTTGGAACTTGCTTAACCAAAGTAGATCAACTATTAAAACAGAATTAAAATGATAATTTCATTATTTCTTTCAAATTCTAAGTTTTTATGTTTCTGTAAAAATGATCAAAAAATAAAAATTACCATGTTATAACAAAGTATTTTATAACCGCTTCTATTTTTATTTTACAAGTAAATATTTACTCATAAATATTACATAAAAATAGGATCAAAGGAATTTATGTAAAATAGTGCCAAAGGAATGTTTAATGCTTATAATTATTGTAAATAGGAAAGTATGCTTCAATTTACAGAAGTAGTATGAGTATGTAAAATAAAACAACCACAACTCAAGTGATCTTTAGTGGATGAGTTTATCACTTGAATAACTACAAATATCAAATTTCTCTTTCCTTCACAACTTCTTAATACAAAAATACAAATATGACCATAACAAGCTGGCAAAGTTTCCAAATTCCACATCATAAGATGTTTATAACTATCAAATCACTATATATATTACATATTTGAAATGATACATTAGAATACTTTTAATTATGAGTTCACCTGAAATGTGAAATTAACCTAGGTTAATTTAGTCTAAGGAGCTACACAATGATAAACAAAAAATAACAAGAAAAACAGAAATAGCATGGAGGAAAAAAAAAAATCACCAAAAAAAGTTAACATACTTTTATGAGCTATCCATATTTTAGGTGTAAATAATTTCCAAGAATATGAACCCTAGTTGGATAAAACATAAAACTGCTGGCATTTGTGGCTGGAGCCAGGATGATTTCCAGTGTACATCCTTCTTACCTGCGCCTTGGAGCTTCTGGTGAGTCTGCAGGAGCTACTCCCCGAGCCACAGATGCCAGGAATTCTTGCCTCTTCTGCTGTACAAGGCATGCTGCTTTGATGATCTTGTGGCGGGGTGTGCGAAGGTAAGGCCTATTGACTTTCTGGGCAAGGTCTTCAGTGACCATTTCTAGGTCTGTCTATAGTAAGCAGAGAAAAAAAAAAGATCACAGGCTTCATAGGTTAATCAATAGCAAATCCAGAGTCTATGTGGTTTCTCAGTTAAATCTAACTCTTTTGAAGTAAGAAACTAGTTCAAATTTTGAAATAACTTCCTATGTAATGTATTTTCTATTTTGTACATGTTTTCTAGATTATGAACGAGAAAGAAGGATTATATATAAAATCATGTGAAATTTTAAAAAAGCACTTGATAGGCATTTATAGAAATGAAATTGGTATAGACTACAAAGAAGCAGTGAGTATAGCAGCTGTTTACAAGGAATTTATAGTCTGTCTATGTGAAAAAAACTAATACATTTCAATGCACCATACAAGCAAATGCACGATGCCATAGTGCAGACTATATAAAAGTGCTGAAGGAATTTGAATTAAGGCAAGACGACAGTGATCGGGGTCAAGTCTGGAAGGCTGTATGGAGAAAATGAGTACTGATCCTTGATGGAAATGTAGGATATAAATTAGCAAAGGACAGTTCAAAGGGTGACATGAAAACTGTAACAGGAGAAAGTTTAGAGGCTTCAAAAGAAAAGAAATGTACAATGAAGTTATTTAGCTATAGTGATGCTAACTGGCTTAGGTGTTTTTGTTTTTTAAATACTGTAACTTTTTCAGTTGTATTTAAAAAATAAACTGGTAAATAGCAACTTTCTCATCTTGTAGGTAATGTGGGTTGTTTCATCTTTGATGATAAAATTCTTAATTACATAATCAGAAATATGCCTGATTTCAAACATCAACCAGTTTAAAACAAAGACAAAAATGCTATAGGAAATGTTTGCATCACTCATAACTCATTCACACCTGCAGAGTGACAAATTTAAACAAAGAAAATTTCAATTTATTAGTGGTAACTTTTCCTTTATTTAAAAACTATTTAAAAAATGAAAAGAAAATTGTTTTACTGATCATGTCCACATGAAATAAAATAAGTGGTTTGAAAAAGGAAAAACTCTGTGTTTCGTAATAACTGCTGCTATTTAAATGTAATTAAAAAATATCTTACTTGCATTAGTTCGAAAATTTCTTTCTTTGTGCTTTTAGGTTCCAAGAAAAATCCATATGGATAAGAACACTTGAGAATGCGCCGAGTTTTTAAGAGCACATGAACTGCATCTTCAATGAAAGTGGTATCTGGACAGCCTCCTTCAGCTAAAAAGTAATTGAGGCACAGTGAATTTGTTTTTGCAAATATGCCATTTGTAATATTAATTAAACAATGATTTTTCTGAAAAAAGAAAAAAGAAGGATCATTAGGACAAAAACTGTTTTAAGTAACTGTCTGAAAATACTTATTTGAACCAAACTAAAAAACCACATAAAATACTCATGTGTGACATGTATGTGTTTATAAAAGAAGTATATGCCCCAGCAGCCCAGGAGCACTGATGGTATTCATAAAGGAATGCACATACTCATCTTGGATTCTGGTCTCACTCCATTGGTAAGCAAATCTAGCTTTAGGTCAACCAAAAGGTTCTAGGCTTTACTTTTTCAGATTATCCCTGGCAGAATTTCCCTGCGTAACAATGAGAACAAATGCCTTTTCTAAGTTGCTTGTAAAAAGAGCCTAATTATGTAAAATCAATACTGTAAGGAAAAAGATACAACATTCTGGCAAACAACTAGACAACTAATCCTAGTTAATAAAAAAATCCAGAGAAAGAAAGAAGGGGAGGAAGAATGAGGAAGATGGAAGACGAAATTGCCTTAACATCTGAGACTTTTTGTTCTAAGAATATCATTATAACAGTCTAGGTTTTCACTTAACTGAAAAAAAAAAAAACAAAAAAATAAAAACCAGAAATTAAGTACGAGAATCTAAGTTTGCAAATACTTTAGAAAATCATATTATTTTGGATGCCTGTAGAAAGAAATTCAGTGTGTGTACACAAACTGACATACAGACTACCCTGAGATTTCTGACGTATGTGAGAAATGTGTGAAGTTTTGCTTCTTCCCTTTCAATTGCTGTACCTTCTTGTTTTTTTCCCCTAATTTGTTATGCTGCCTGGAACTTCCAGAATGCTGAATAGAAGCAATAATTCACATCTACAAATATTGAATGTTGTTAAGTGTCAGGCACAGCTGGAAGCACTAGGGATGCATTAGTGACCAGACAAAAATCCCTGCTGAAGAGCTGTATGACTTGTGAGGATTTTTTTCCTCTCAATTTATACTGTGGACAATACTTCAAGAGTTTGATATTGCCTAATACAGTTATACCTTTAATGAAGTCTAAGAACTAATAATTAACAAGCAGGCTATACTGCTATTGACATATTCTTCCCCACTCCATTTAACTTATGGTTTGTCTTGACTAGGGAATTATCCTAATGGAAAGGATTTTAATATTCATTATTTTGATAAACTGGAGCAACCCAAGTATAACATCACATTTTTCACCTTAAAATGTACTTTTCATATGTAAGCTATTATTTTTAAAAGGTGACTTTTTAAAACAAAAATAACAGAACCTGCACCCTGTGTAGTCATTGTGGGTTATTATATTCTAATGATGCTATCAATACTCAATTCATATTTTTGAATATTCTTATAAAACTTATAATTTAGGACCCACACGTTAGCTCCACCTCATGGCTTTGCTTTTTGACCCCAATGTTCATTATTTACCAGTGAAATGATTTCTCTGCAAACTGTTACTGACTTCCACATCCTTAGGCACTCTGCTAAATTTTCTCAATAATTTTTGGGTATTCAGTTACTTGACAATTGGGTAGCACGTGTATCTTGCTCCTCTAAGTCAGTGATGTCCTTTAGGACCCATCCACTTTTCCCAACATTGTAGAGCATCAGCAGTGACACAGAGTAAGCAAAATCATGAAGTGTTTTTATCTCATAACAGCACAGGCTGCATCAAGAGGAAGCGGCTAGGTGCTGGGTAGAAAATCCAATCACAGAGACCTCATCTGCTAAGCTGCACTCAGGGCTTCAAAGAACTCAAAACAGTACCAGAACGAGCTAATGGACATAATGTATTCCTTTCAGGGCCTAACCTAATAGTGAAGCAACAAGCATGGAAAGATATTTTATATTAATTATCACACATACAACTTATAACTTACTTTCTTTGAGAGCTCTGCTCAATTGTTCCATCTTTTCTTTGGCTGTTTTAAGAAGGCGTTGTTCTAGCTAAAAGAATAGAAATAAAGCATGTAAACCATTCTCTTTATTTATTCACAACAGTATAGGTCAGCTCATTTGAAATTATTTGGGACATACCTGATAACTATGCTCGTGGTTTTTAAATCTTGTATAATAGTGCATAAATCTGTCAAGTTCCTGAAATCGTTTGTGTTTTTTCTCAGCCTAGAAAACAAAAGTCCACAAATGACTTTTATAAAAACTAGTGGCTACTAAAATAGTTTTTTGGGGGAATCATTTAAAAGTTTTATTAGTGATAGGTATAGTGCATTCAGATTTGTGAATTATCTTCTTGACAGAAAACAATATTTTCTTTTTTTTTTTTTTTTTTTTGAGATGGAGTCTCGCTGTGTCACCCAGGCTGGAGTGCAGTGGTGCAATCTGAGCTCACACAAACCTTGCCTCCTGGGTTCAAGTGATTTTCCCGTCTCAGCCTCCTGAGTAGCTGGGATTACAGGAGCCCACCACCATGCCTGGGTAATTTTTGTATTTTTAGTACAGATGGGGTTTTACCATGTTGGCCAGGCTGGTCGTGAACTCCTGACCTCAAATGATCCGCCCACCTCGGCCTCCCAAAAGTGCTGGGATGAAAAGCATGAAACACTGTGCTCGGCCTTCAATGTTTTATTATATGGCTTTTTGCTATGGACTAATGGTATTTCCTTTAAAATTCATATTTTGAAGCCCTACCCCCAATGTGACTGTATTTGAAGATAGGACCTGTAAGAAGGTGATAAAGGTTAAATAAGGTCATCAGGGTAGGCCCTATTCTGATAGGACTGGTACCCTTATAAGAAGAGGAAGGGGCACCAGAGGTCTCTCTGTCTTTTCTGGCCACCTGAGGAAATAGTGAGAGGGTGGCTGTCTGCAAACCAAGAAGAGCACCCTCATCAAGAACCAAATTGGCCAGCACCTTGACCTTGGACTTCACAACCTCTAGAACTGTGAGAAATAAATTTCTGTTAAGCCACCCAGTCTGTAGTATTTTCTATGGCAGTTGAGCAGACTAAGACACTTGCTCTACAGTATAATGTAATATTGTATTGTTGATATTAATGTTAAAATTGTTTTTAAGTATTTACAGAGGTAGGCTGGGATATATCATTTTTCATACGTATCTTCACCAAAATTAAAAGAAGGAAAATGTAAAAGGGAAAAAGCTCTCAAGTTTACACAGCTATTTTGTTGAAATTAAAGGCTACTATAAAGTATATTCAATTTAATACCTTATTAAGATGAAAATGGACAAAGAAATGCAAAATAACTCCAGTAGCAATGAGCGGCTTAGAGAGATGTCTTGGCTTAATTGGTTCTCTTTACCTCCACAGTCATTTCCTTGGATTGCTCCTCCACATGCTGAATGACTTCATAGCGAGTACATCTGTAATAACCTCCAGTGGAAGAACTATGTTTTTTCCACTCTTCAAGGCAAATCCAGCAAAAGTCATACTTGCACTTCAAAAGAAAACACAGATGAAAACATCTCCCCACATTAATATGCAAATTATTTTCTGCTTTATAGCCAACCAATCTGTAAAGATTAAATAACTGTGCTTGTGTGACCAGGAACAAATCTTCTCAAAGACATGCCCTCTTTCTCCTGTTTCCTCTAGAGACATTATCTGCATTATGGAAAGATGTGGGGTAGTTTAAAATTATTGTTTATAGGGATATATTAAAATGTAAAGCATAATATTATGAAGTAATCACAAGGAATCATTAAAAATATCAGTAAGATATTCTTTCCAAATAATATCAGATGCAAGTGTTTCATTTTTAAGTGCATTCTAATCTGACACTGGTATATAAAGCTCCACCAGTCTATTTGAAAAACTTCTGGCAATACTGACAAATTGGTTTTGAAACCAGAACTACGCTTAAAAGACCTCTAAGTGGAACAGCTGATATAAAAACGGTTTCCCATTTTAATGTAAATTTCACTGAATTACCATAATTATCAGACAGTGCCAAAAATATGAGCATTCAGTATGAAAACACATCCTTTTTTATGCTTATGGATTTTGAGTCAGTTAAAAAGATCTTCCCATTCTGTTGTCTTCAGGTACTCTTTATGGTTTATTTATTTTTTATTTTATTATACATTAAGTTCTAGGGTACATGTGCACAACGTGCAGGTTTGTCACATATGTATACATGTGCTGTGTTAGTTTGCTGTACCCATTAACTCGTCATTTACATTAGGTATTTCTCCTAATGCTATCCTTCCCCCATCCTTCTACCCCACAACAGGACCCGGTATGTGATGTTCCCCACCCTATGTCCAAGTGTTCTCATTGTTCAGTTCCCACCTATGAGTGAGAACACGCAGTGTTTGGTTTTCTGTCCTTGTGATAGTTTGCTCAGAATGATGGTTTTCAGCTTCATCCATGTGGCTACAGAGGACATGGACTCATCCTTTTTTATGGCTGCATAGTATTCCATGGTGTATATCTGCCACATTTTCTTAATCCAGTCTATCATTGATGGGCATTTGGGTTGGCTCCAAGTATTTGCTATTGTGAATAGTGCCGCAATAAACATACAAGTGCATGTGTCTTTATAGTAGTATGATTTATAATCCTTTGGGTATATACCCAGTAATGGGATCACTGGGTCAAATGGTATTTCTAGTTCTAGATCCTTGAGAATTGCCACACTGTCTCTTCCACAATGGTTGAACTAGTTTACGCTCCCACCAACAGTGTAAAAGTGTTTCTATTTTTCCGCATTGTCTCCAGCACCTGTTGTTTCCTGACTTTTTAATGATCGCCATTCTAACTGGTGTGAGATGGTATCTCATTGTGGTTTTGATTTGCATTTCTCTGATGACCAGTGATGATGAGCATTTTTTTCATGTGTCTGTTGGCTGCATAAATGTCTTTTGAGAAGTGTCTGTTCATATCCTCTGCCCACTTTTTATGGGGTTGCTTTTTTCTTGTAAATTTGTTTAAGTTCTTTGTAGATTCTAGATATTAGTCCCTTGTCAGATGGGTAGATTGCAAAAATGTTCTCCCATTCTGAGGGTTGCCTGTTCACTCTGATGGTAGTTTCTTTTGCTGTGCAGAAGCTCTTTAGTTTAATTTGATCCCATTTGACTATTTTGGCTTTTGTTGCCATTGCTTTTGGTGTTTTAGTCATGAAGTCCTTGGGCCCATGCCTATGTCCTGAATGGTACTGCCTAGGTTTTCTTTCAGGGTTTTATGGTTTTAGGTCTAACATTTAAGTCTTTAATCCATCTTGAATTAATTTTTGTATAAGGTGTAAGGAAGGGATCCAGTTTCAGCTTTCTACATACCGCTAGCCAGCTTTCCCTGCACTATTTATTAAACAAGGAGTCCTTTCCCCATTTCTTATTTTTGTCAGTTTTGTCAAAGATCAGATGGTTGTAGATGTGTGCTGTTATTTCTGAGGCCTCTGTTCTGTTCCATTGGTCTATATCTCTGTTTTGGTACTAGTACCATGCTGTTTTGGTTACTGTAGCCTTGTAGTATAGTTTGAAGTCAGGTAGTGTGATGCCTCCAGCTTTGTTCTTTTTGCTCAGGATTTCTTGGCAATGTGGGCTCTTTTTTGGTTCCATATGAACTTTAAAGTAGTTTTTTCCAGTTCTGTGAAGAAAGTCAGTGGTAGCCTGATGGGAATGGCATTGAATTTATAAATTACCCTGGGCAGTATGGACATTTTCACAATATTCATTCTTCCTATCCATGAGCATGGAATGTTTTTCCATTTGTTTGTGTACTCTTTTATGTGGTTGAGCAGCAGTTTGTAGTTCTCCTTGAAGAGGTCCTTCCCATCCCTTGTAAGTTGGATTCCTAGGTATTTTACTCTCTTTGAAGCAATTGTGAATGGGGGTTCACTCATGATTTGGCTCTCTGTCTGTTATTGGTGTATAGGAATGCCTGTGATTTTTGCACATTGATTTTGTATCCTGAGACTTTGCTGCAGTTGCTTATCAGCTTAAGGAGATATTGGGCTGAAAAGATGGGGTTTTCTAAATATACAATCATGTCATCTGCAAACAGGGACAATGTGACTTCCTCTTTTCCTAATTGAATCCCCTTTCTTTCTTTCTCTTGCCTGATTGCTCTGGCCAGAACTTTCAACACTATGTTAATAGGAGTGGTGAGAGAGGGCATCCCTGTCTTGTGCCAGTTTTCAAAGGGAATGCTTCCAGTTTTTGCCTACTCAGTATGATACTGGCTATGGGTTTGTCATAAATAGCTCTTATGATTTTGAGATACATTCCATCAATACCTAGTTTATTAAGTTTTTAGCATGAAGGGCTGTTGAATTTTGTCAAAGTCCTTTTCTGCATCTATTGAGATAATCATGTGGTTTTTGTCTTTGGTTCTGTTTATGTGATGGTTTATGTTTATTGATTTGCATATGTTGAACCAGCCTTGCATCCCAGGGATGAAGCCAACTTGATCTTGCTGCATAAGTTTTTTGATGTGCTGCTGGATTTGGTTTGCCAGTATTTTATTGAGGATTTTTGCACTGATGTTCATCAGGGATACTGGTCTAACATTCTCTTTGGAGATAAGATCGCAAATAGATGAAATAATTTTGGCTGGATCCTCAGCTGAACAATAAATAACACTTTTGAATATTTTGCTCACAACACTGCCCTAGGTTTTTCTTCCTGCCTCTTAGAGAATCATTATTACTGCCTCACTAAGCCAGTTCATTTATGTTAATTTTACAGTAACACAGACTTACAAAAATTATTTTGTACCTGCCATTCTTTTGCAAGTATAGTAACAATCATTAAGCTTCAAAGTTAAAAATCAAGTAATACCCAGAACATATTACTATATTTTACTGGAATCTTAACCATTTAAATTTCCTTCATGTCCTAAATTAGGAAAAAAAAATACATTTTCCTCTCAATAACTTTAAATAATCATTTTATACATAGATGACATTTCCAATGATAAAGCAAAATAAATCAGAATATCATTATAATTTTAAACCAAAAAAATGTTCATAAATGTAGGTAGGTTATTAATAATAAAATGTTATTAATAATATACCAGCAGAGTTGTTTTAAACACACTGCTGTTTCTTCCTGTACAAGTAATTAAAGAGGGTAGTTATTCTATCCAGCCTTTTGACCTCTAACATTAATCATTTATATTAAGTATTTTTCAGCCAAGTGAATCTTTGTTGGCATTTTCATTTTCAATATAATAAAGAGTTACTTATTTTATTGCTTGTTTTTTTAGCAGTCCTAAAGTCTGGCCATTGCTTTGGGTTCTTGTATTATACAGACATCTATATACAGGTGTTCCCTGGTATCCACAGAGGATTGGTTCCAGGACCTCCTGCAAACACCAAAATCTGAGAATAATCAAGTCCCCAATATAAAATGATGTATTATTTGCATACTAACCTATGCACATCCTCTAGTATACTTTCAATAATCTCTAGATTACTTATAATATCTTACAATGTATATGCTATGTAAATAGTTGTTATATTGCATTGTTTAGGGAATAATTACAAGAAAAAAAATCTGTACATGTTCGATACAGATGCAATTTTTTTCCCTAAGTATTTTTGATCCATGGTAGACTGAATCCATGAATGCAGAACCCAACAATATGAAACTCATCGATACAGAGGGCCGACTGTATGGAGACAGTATATGGACTGGATTTGGGCCTAGTTTGGGCCTTGAGTCTAAGCCGTATGCTCCAAAACCAGCTTCACAAGAGATCTATATAAGGCAGCACTTTGTTAATCATTGGATAACACACACACACACACACATATATATACATACACACACACACACACACACACACAAACTCTCTCAAGACTCTCACTGGGGAAGGTGACTAGCAAGGAAGGATTCATGAATTTCTGATCTTCTGGTTGAATACCACAGATTTTTACCCTTACCTTTTGTTTTTTTGTTTCTAAAGAGATGGTGTTTTTGGGGTTTTGTTACTTTGCTCAGGCTGGTCTTGAACCCCTGGCCTCAAGTGATCCTCCTGCCTCAACCTCTTGAAGTACTGGGATTATAGGCAAGAGCCACTGTACCAGGCCCCCTCAAATAATTTATCCTTTGGATTGACAATCAAACTAAATTAAGATTCCAAATGCAAAGCATGAAAAATCCTCTTTAACTTCTTACCTTAGCACACTGCATGTGATTGCAGCCTTCATTCTTCTGTATTGGAGACTTACAGTTGGCACAAGGCTTGGAGTTAGTTAATAACCAGAGACAATTGGCCGCATCCTCGTAGGCTTCACTAACTCCCACAACTTTGGGATATTAAGCACAAACACAAAAATAAATGATTTATTGTACAACTTCTGGGGGAAAAAAACCCTCCAGACTTTTCTTTGCAGGCTCTCAATTTTAATAAAATATTTATTTTCCGATCAGTGTCTGTGGCAACATTTTTAAACTTCTTCATTTTGAGTAGCCTAATTACAAGATAAGGAACTCTATTCCAAAAGACCTATTCATGAAACCTGGTTTAAGGGCAATTTCTACATAAACTTGTGCCCAAATAAACTGGGACCAAAAACAACATACACAAAAAAGGTGTGTTTTTTTTTTTTTTTTTAATGCAACATATTACTCCATTTAAAATAACTATTGTATCAAAGAAAATTACAGAAAGAACAGTTACTTTAGACGATAATTTACAGAACAGGCCAGACGCAAATATAATTATCAGAAACTCTTTACCATAGTAAAAAGCAAAAAATATCAACATCTTTTTTATCCATGAGTATTCTGGATAAACTTAAAATTAATTCAATGTGACATGTCTAAAACTAAGCATCTCATTTATTACACCCTCTTTCTCTATCATATCTGGTTCCTCTCCATTCCCAGTTCTTATGCTTTAAGGCAGGGTCCTTCATACCTCTTGCCTAGACAACTAAAGCATAGAAAATCAACTTATCTCCCCAGTTCCTTCAAGGGCCCACCTCCAACTACACTGCTTGCACAGTGATTTTTAAAAAAATCTCTCCATGTGTTTTTCTTTTATTGACACAAAATATTTTACATATTTATGAGGTAGATATGACTGTAACATGCATAGAATGTGTAATAAGTCAGGACATCTGAAGTACCCATCACCTTGAGTAATTATCATTTCTATGTGTTGGTATCATTTCAAGTCCTCCCTTCTAGTTATTTTGAAATATAAGAAATATTGTCTTCTATCTAACTCTATGTTTGTCCCCATTAACAAACTTTTCTTCATCCTCCAATCCCCTGCCAGCCACCCATCCCACAGTGATCTTTTTAGAATACACATTGCTTAAAATCTTTTAATTTGCTCCCCACTGACTACAAGATAAAATCCAACTGCTTTTGCAAAGAATATAAAGCCCATTATGATATGGCCCATCTGGCAAGCTCCTCTCACCCTCCATCCCTAATCAAACGTATACTCTTCATTTTCTTAAACTCAAGTTATTTTACTGTAATTTGAGATCCACAATCTTAAGGAATGTCATGGTTTTTAAAGATTCTAAATTTTACATTTTATAAACTTCCCTCTCCCCTCCATGGAGAGTTAGGGGCTACAGAGTTCCAGATGCATAATTAAAAATTTTTTTCCTGCAAGAATGTCAGCAATCAAGTTGGTTTTGTTTTCTTTTCTAACTCTAAGTGCATTGAGAAGCCCTACATTTACTTTACTCAAAGAGATGCCAGAAAATCATTTTAGAATCACTGAAAGTGGCCCATCTAATCAAAGCTTTGTTTACATGCCGACACTTTCAGAAGGGTGGAGGGGTAAATGGTTGGCTCTACTGTCAAAGCAGGGGAGAAATCAGACCCTTTGCATTTTGAAATTCAAAAAGAAGAGTTACCCAACCCCTAGATATAAGCCCCTGGGGAGGGAAGGGGGACAAAGGTTTGGGCTCACTGACCCCTGGGAAGTGGCTCTGTGTATGGATTGGAAGGGCTGAGCACCAGAAGCAGTCCTCTGATGGAGCCTAGCAATACAGAAGTGGAGCTGTCTTGCTGCAAGGAACCCCAAGAGCTTGTCTACTTAAGTTTATATTAACAACAGAACAGCAGCTACTGTTGGACTATAAAAGCACTGGTTTTTAACTCCACACAGCAAAGAGAAACAGTGGTAATGAACTGGTCAGACTTTACTCCAGTTCTGAACACACTTGGTAGAAGATGGTTTGATTAAGCTGTTGGTGGAAAGAATTATCAGGTAATTTGATGGGTGACAGGAGTTTCAGTAGGAACTTAGTATATTTTGGGCTAACAAGGTCGAGCTGTGGAGGCAATTCCACTTACAAAGGGTATTGCTATAATACCTAATCATTTAAGTACACTTCACATTTAAACATCTAATTTTTGTTAAAAGCAGTGGCCTTTTTTCCTCCTTTAGCATCAACATTATTGTTAGCTCAGAGGCACTAACATATTCTTATGACTCTTATTGTCCATTGTTATAATAAAGAAAGCACAAAGCCATTAAAACAAAGCAGCAGTGTGGCCTGCAACATAATAGTTTTTTCTTCCACGCTTGGAGAGAATGTGATCTCCTAACTGCATTTTAGTGAACTGCATGAAGTAAATCATGTTCAGGGAATAACCAACTATTACTATGATAAAAACTCGTGCTGGAAAAAAGATCTTTATTTCCAATTCTCTGAACATGCTTATTCTACACATCTATCCCTTATACATACTTTTTTTTTTTTTTTTTTGAGATGGACTCTTGTACTGTTGCCCAGGCTGGAGTGCAATGGCACGATCTCAGCTCACCGCAACCTCTGCCTCCTGGCTCAAGTGATTCTCGTGCCTCAACCTCCCAAGTAGTTGAGACTAAAGGTGCCCGCCACCACACCTGGCTAATTTTTTTTTTTTTTTTTTTTTTTAATTTTTAGTAGAGACGGGGTTTCACCATGTTGACCAGGCTGGTCTCAAACTCCTGACCTGAAGTGATCTGCCTGTGTTGGCCTCTCAAAGTAGTGGGATTACAGGCATAAGCCACTGCATCCAGCTTATACATACTGTTCTTAACATCAACAACAGTGTATCTACCTTCAATCTATTGGGTGAGATTTTTTCACCTCTACTGACTTTCAAACTCTTCACTTCAGTTACAGCTCTTATTATATACTGATGTTCTTTCTTTATAATCTAGTGTGCTTAGGTCTCTTTCTAAAATGTATTAACTTCATAATAAAGTATTAAAATATCACAAAATCTAAGATCTATTAATAGAATCAACATGTATGCATGTGAAAACAGTTGCTTTTAAAAACTGAATTTTTATTTTTAATTTTTTTTAGAAATAGAGATTCACTCTATTATCCAGACTGGAATGCAGTGGTGCAATCATAGCTCACTGTAGCCTTCAACTTCTGGGCTCAAGAGATCCTCCTACCTCAGCTTCCCAAGTAGCTAGGACTACAGGCATGTGCCACTATGCCTGGCTAAGTTTTTAATTTTTTAGAGAGACAGGATCTCACTGTGTTGCCCAGGCTTGTCTTGAACTCTGAGCCTCAAGTGATCCTCTTGCCTCGGCCTCCCAAAGTGCTGGGATTACAGGCATAAACCACTGCACCTAGTCAAAGACTAAATTTTTAAATAATACAATTTGAATTCAGTTTACTGAGTATGTCCCATGAAAAATACTGGTCTGAAAAATTTATAAATTAACCATTTCATAAAAAATATAACCATTCCTGCTTCTTGCTCTAATTAGACACAACAGAGGCAATATCAGTGCTTAACAAACACTATTTAAATCTTTATATGAAATTAATTCCTTGAATTGATTTCAGCATATTTTTTCTCATTAATTAGATTTTCTCATCCTGAGTCTCATAATTCAAAGACTTTGGAAAACTGGGCATAAAGAAGAAAACTATTTCATGAAACTACAAATTTGGTTAAACATGCTTATGCCATTTTTTTTTTTTTTTGCATAAAATCCAAAGTAAAAATGCTATGATACAAAGTAATACATAAACTTAACATAGCACCTAATCATATTTTTCCTTTTTGAAATATCATTTTTGTATATTTAATGATGGGGTTCTACTTTAGTATTATAGTTGGCCAATTATTGTTCACTTTAATCCTTGCCCCAAATTTCATAAACATAAGTGGCCATTACTGGTCACCATCTTTCAGTGTGGAAGACACAAATCAGTAGAGGGAGAAAATTCCTAGCCTTTTCTTAACAACAACTGGGACTTTCTCTGCAGCCTTGGCTTGGTTTCCTCTCTGGTAGAACAAACCTCAGGTGTCTTCAGTCTTTTGTCTCCTATCATGTTTTCAAACATTCTTTCATCTTTCCAAATCAAAACCCCCTTTGGGATCTCCCTATCTCTGGCCATCAGAAGTAACCATGTATATACCATGTATACCATTTTCTAGCTTTTCTATTTCTTTCCTCCTCTTAGTATCAGGATCATTATCATGTGGAAGGTCATTTTTTCCCAGTCCCACCCATAATCTGTTCTCACTAGCCAGTCCATTCTCCTTCCCCCGTTTCCTAGCAAAAACTTATCTGTAGGTATGGAATGATTCATCCAATTTTAATATGGTAAGAGATAACTAAAAATAGCCATCAATTTTAAAATACTTGCTTTAAAGAGTTTTTCTGTGTTCTGATACCAGATGTGAGATGGATTTGCTGTGTGGCAGGGCATTTTTGTTTCTCTTGGCCTTGGTATCTCCCTCTGTAAAATCGGGGTAATTTGTGAATTAAAGGCAAGTAGGGAGATGTATTACTCTAATTAGATCACAGGCAAAACAGAAGATTATAATGAACTTGAAGAATTGTGGGAAGAAACCCCAAAGTGGGTTTTGATTTGGAAAGAGGGAAGAATATTTGAAAACATGATAGGATACAAAAGACTGAAGACACCTGAGATTTGTTCTACCAGAAAGGACTACATAAACCTAAAAGATTATACCCATAGTTTGAGACTGCTTGAGTGAATGATCAGCAGTCACCTAGTAAGTGATCTGTTCTTACAGTTGGAACCTTTAAAGACGAACAGGTCTTTCAGGGTAATAGATCAGACTTGGGGATAAAATACTGGGAAAGTGATGTACAAAGCCATTTGATGCCACAGGATAGTAGCACTTTGAGAGGGTCAGTGTGTCGCTTAGTGCCCACAAGGAGATTAGTATTCACCTCGAGTTCCCAGGACCCAGGATCTAGACAGCTGTGGAGATGCTAACTCACCTCGGAGGCTGGGGTGGGAGATTTGGAGGAAAATAAAAGAAAAATACTTGTTTTATATTTCAAACATTGCTGGGCATTTTCTACTCAAGAACTGAATAATATGCTAGACTAATTACTTCTTATGGTGCATTAAACCTTTCAGGCAACTAGCAGGCACACAAGGTTTACTACTTAAGGCTATTTAATATATCTTATAACTCTCCTCTGTATGCCCCCTCCCACCTGAATTACCCATCTTAAGCCTTCATATCGTCTCACCTGGCCATTCTGAAGTTGTCTCAGAACTAACATTCTTACCTAGTTTCTCAATAGTCTCCATTTCATCATCCATACTTCTGCCTGAGTGATCTTTGTAAGTAAGCATCTTCATGCACCACTCTCCTACTTAAAACTCCTTTTCAGTGTCTCAGGATAAGGTCAGATTTCCTAGCATTGTGCATAACCACCTCTTTGTGCCCAATGCTTGATTTGGATTCCTGTCTGCACAGTCTCATCTCTTAGTGCACCACTAAACTGACTGTAAGAATTATTTGCAGTCCTTGAATATGCCAGGCTACTTCACAATGCCACTTCACCCTATGCCTGGAATGTCTTTCCTATTCTGGTTTATGTGAAGAGCATCTATCAGCTTTCAACATGCAGCTTAAGCATCAATTCTTTAGAAAGTGTTTCCTAACCCTCTCCCATAGATAATTGGCCTCCTTCTTCTTTGTCCTTCCCCTCCCCTAAAAGTTATCACATACATGAACAACGTTCTCTCACATTCAAAACACATTTTTCCTTAGTTTTGTATACAGTTGCCTCTCTAATATATAAACTTCAAGAGCATAGAGGGCATCTTATTTTTGGATTCTAACATAAAACAGCACTCAATAAACGTTAATTAAATAGCGAAGATAACATTTAAAATCAACAATTTATTCCTAAGTTTCTTAGCATCTTTTCTGAGTTTCAGACGAACACTTATAAAATTCCACAGGATATCTCCACACATATGTTCTGTAAGTACTTCAAGTTCAGAATGTCCACACCAAAACTCATTATTTTCCCTGGAAAGTTACTTGTTTATCTGAGTTTCCTGTTTCACTAATGGCCTAATTTACCCTCTGACCCAAACTAAAAATTCATCTTCCTACCTTTAGTCTATCTTTTCAATTCACCCTTCATACTCATCAGTTATCTTGACAAAAATAACTTTTCTGATACTGCCACTTCTCTACTCTACACACTTTATGGCTTATTCTATTAGGAGGATAAATTCAAACAATTTGGCAATAACACTCACAATCTGGCAACACCTACCTTTCTAGCCTCATCTCTTTGCGAGTTTCTCCTATGGACCTTAACCTTAAGTTCTTAAATAAATGTATAAAAAAATGTAGGTAGGTGGCCAATAGCAAGCCATTCATAACAGAAATATAAATATTTCTAGCTGCCAGAAGCAAGAAAATAAAGCAAATTCCAATTGTTTTGTCACATCTAAAGGTGTTGCAGGGTAATGGTATGAATCTATTTATGGAAGACAAACGCATATACACACCCATACATATCAGGAGAAAAGGGGAAATGTGTGGGTATGAAGAGCAACGGCTAGTAAAATGAATCTGGGGGACAAACACAATCTATAAAGGCATTTTTTTTTTTTTTTAAATGGAGTCTTGCTCTGGCACCCAGGCTGGAGTGCCGTGGGGCAATTTGGGTCAATGAAACCTCCACCTCCCGGGTTCAAGCGATTCTCCTGCCTCAGCCTCCTGAGTAGCTGGTATTACAGGCGCACACCACCATGCTGGACTAATTTTTGTGTTTTCAGTAGAGATGCAGTTTCACCATGTTGGCCAGGATGGTCTTGAACTCCTGACCTCAAGTGATCCACCTGCCTCGGCCTCCCAAAATGCTAGGATTACAGATGTGAGCCATTGCGCCTGGCTTAAAAAAATCTGTTGACTAAATGATGCATGAACAGGACAAAAACGTTTAATCAGGCCTCACTATAAAATATCCAAAGATCATCCTCTTCTCTTTGCTCCTGATAATGGACATGAAGCCTTCTCAACAAGTGAAAGGGATCTCCCTCATTATCAACTAATAAGTGGCATTTTGGTTTATACTGTAGTCTCTTCTCCATGGGTCAGAATAACCCTGAGTCAGTGGACAAAATGAACCTTGTAGATCTAAAATGCTGAGGATCAGCCCTCAGGCAGTGGTAAATTCCCTGATATAATACAAGCCTGTAAAGTATGATGGCTGTCGGGCAGTCTCTCTCAATGCCACTTCAGTTGCTGACAGTAATTACCTACTACTAGGCAGAGATGCTAAAATCCAATTCACAGCTCACTGCCTTCAAGAAGATTCTTTGACACCCTTTCTTCCCCCAACCTCAGTTTATCATTATTGTTTCTGGACTCTCATCTTTACTCAACTATATCAGTTATCATATGATACCGTAATGTCTGACTGCTTCCCTCTAGCCTCTGCATGCCCTGAAGTCTGGTATCATCTTTATTATGTGCTTTGCTCATATAAGTGTAGATTTTCTTTTTCTTGTTTTGAGACGGAGTCAGTCTCACTCTGTCACCAGGCTGGAGTGCAGTGGCGCAACCTTGGCTCACTGCAACCTCCACCTCCCAGGTTCAAGCAATTCTCCTGCCTCAGCCTCCCAAGTAGCTGGGACTACAGGCGCACGCCACCACGCCCAGCTAATTTTTTTATTTTTAGTAGAGATGGGGTTTCACCATGTTGGCCAGGATGGTCTCCATCTCTTGACCTTGTAATCCGCCTGCCTTGGCCTCCCAAAGTGCTGGAATTACAGGCGTGAGCCCCTGCACCTGGCCCCTATAGGTGTGTAGATTTATTGGGTGAATTCTTGATCCTGACTTGCGACATCTCAAGCTAACATCATTATCTCAGTCTTTTTTTTTTTTTAAAGACCAGAACTAATTTAATTTTCACTTACATTTTTTGAGAGAAAACAGTTGTCATAAAACACTTTAGAAGATGGGAAATTATTGCAAAGCAGATAGATTTATCTGTTAAATGTGGGAACTGCTATTAGGAAGGCTTTAAAAAGGAGTCCCCTCAGAGATTCAAACCCATTCTGTTCACAAGGCACATGCCCTGTGTCATTCAACCCAATCTAAGCATTAGTTTTCCTCTGTAAAACAGGATTACTAACATCACCCTTGTATCATTCCTGTGATGATTAACAGGGATAATGTATTTATAGAAGTCTCAGTGACAATACTTATCTATATGGTATTTAACATCAGTAAATCTATAGAACCACACAACAACAAGAAATTAACTTGCTGTATCCTTCATTGGAAGCTTTCAGGGATATGAGAAGCTCACTCTCACTACAGATCACATACTACTTCCCACAAAGTACAGAACAACTGGTTGGCTCACCCTAGGATAAAAGAAAAGGGCTATGGGAGGAGGATTAAATGTGACCCCCATTTACCCTGTTTATCTTCAGCTGGAAAGTAAGTCTGTTAGAAACATGGAACTTGTCCCTGATTCCTCCTTGCCAAAACTCTATTATTTCCAAAAGGAAGTTAGTCAAAGGGACCGTGATGTTAAACAGGAGAGCGCTAGCATTAACAAATGTGAAAACCTCTTAAATAAAGACTAAAAAAGATATAACCACATTATCTTTTGAATGCTATAAGGAAATATGTAGCAAAGCAATCTAAAATTCCTTACGTTCTTCTGGTTTCATTTCGGTTATTTTTTGCAGCCAATTCTTCCATGTTTGGCAGTCACAAGGCTCATGTGCTTCACCAAGGCACTCCCTAAAGAAAATAAACATAGAAAAGATAATTTTAAAATATTCTTCATCAACATCAAGGCAAAAAAAAGAAAGTGTGTAGAGGCTGGGCGTGGTGGCTCATGCCTGTAATCCCAGTACTTTGGGAGGCCAAGGTGGGTGGATCACCTGAGGTCAGGAGTCCGAGACCAGCCTGGCCAATATGGTGAAACCCCATTTCTATTAAAAATACAAAAAATTAGTAGGCATGGTGGCACATGCCTGTAATCCCAACTACTCAAGAGGCTGACGCAGGAGAATCGCTTGAACCTGGGAGGTGGAGGTTGCAGTGAGCTGAGATCGCACCCTTGCACTCCAGCCTGGGCAACAAGAGCGAAACTCTGTCTCAAAAAAAAAAAAAAAGCAGAAAGTATTCTTCCAATTTTAAAGTTGAAAAAACTAAGACATAGTGATTAATGAGAGATGGAGCATTTCAATGGAGGCATTGAAAATGAGATTCCAAAGCTTGATACCATTAGACCAGTTTTTTAAAAAAAATCAGTACATTCATTTACGTATTTCAAAAGTTCTAAATAGATTAATATTTATAACTTAGATTTGCAAGCCTTCAGAGCTTTAAAACATTTGATTAAATTACGTTTTATCCTCATTAATATTTTAAATTCTTGTTATTCAAAGGTGTATTCCTGGCCATTACTGAGCAGCTTTTTAGACATGCAGAAGAACAGGCCCCATGAGATTTACAGATTAGAATCTATATTTTATCAAAATTACCAAATGAACCTTTGTCATTTTAAAGTTTGAAAAACACTGTTTTAAGTCAAATTATTGTAGTTACTTTTACCTCTGCATCTCCAGGTAACAGCTAGGGTAACTCAATTTACTTTTATTGGAATTTGGGAAATTTTGATTTAAATAATTAAAAACATCAATTTATCATTTGTAACTCTATTTTATATTCTTTCCATAGCTATTTAAGAAGTCAAACACTAAAACGAGCCTAAAGCCTTGATAAACTGCCATTTTAATTCAAGATGATGCTATATTGTATAGAACAAAGGTAATTATTCCAGTCAATGATAAAATATTATTCGGAGGAGGGAACAACCCAATCTGGAAGTGATATCATCACCATCAGTGCTATTTTAAAAAGATTTCATTTACAAAGGTTAAGCTTAGGCAGGGAGGGGTGGCTCACGCCTGTAGTCCCAGCTACTTGGGAGGCTGAGGTAGGAGGATCACTTGAGTCTGGGAGGCAGAGGCTGCAGTGAGCTGAGATCATGCCACTGCAGTCCAGCCTAGGCGACAGAGCAAGACCCCATTTCGAGGAAAAAGAATAAAAAAAGGTTAAGTGTATTAAGAAGATACACCAACTGACTCATGTAGTCTTACAAACTAAGAGGTAATTAAGAATGTATTGATTATACTTCATATTTGTTAAAATGGTGATTATTAAAAAAAAAAGAAGGTTTTGGTGTGGATGTACAAAGACCAGAACTCTTGTGCATTGCTGATAGAAATGTAAATGCTGATGCAAAGTTAAACTTAGAATTACCATAGGATTCAGCAATTTCATTCTAAGGTATGAAAGAACTGAAAGCAAGGATTCAAACTTGTACACCAACATTCATGGTATTATTCACAACAGCTAAAAGGGGGAAACAACCCAAGCGTCTATCAGCAGATGAATGGATAAACAAATTGTGCAGTATACACACACACAAACACACACATGTTCACACAATACGATATTCAGCCATAAAAAGGAATAATATCTGCATACATGCTACACTATGAATGAGCTTTAAAAACATTTTGTTAAGTGAAATAAGCCAGACACAAAAGTACAGATATTCTAGAATTCCACTTATATTAAATATCTAGAATAGGCAAATTCATAGAGAAAGAAAGTAGAGTGGTTGTTACCAGCCTGGGGGAGGAGAGGATGGCGAGTAACTGCTTAATGGTCATAGAGTTTCTGTTTGGGATCATGAAAAATTTCTGAAAAAGAAAAGTGGCTATGAGACGTTATAGTTGCACTCTGAATGCAATTAATGTCACTGAATTGCATACTTAAAAATGGTTAAATGGTTAAAAAAAAAAAAAATTCACCAAATGCCTTGAAAGGGTAATTTAGTTTCCTTACACTCCTGACTTGTCACCTAATCTGACACTTGGGAGCTCCTAGCAACTTAGTGGTAGCTTAACAGACATTCAAAAAATACTGGGTTGATTAAAATATGGAAGTGAGCTGGGCACAATGGCTACTCGGCAGGCTGAGGCAGAAGAATCAATGGAGCCCAGGAGTTTCAGGCTGTAGTGTGCTATTACCACTCTGTGAATAGCCACAGCACTCTAGCCTGGGCAACACAACACGACCTAATTTCTTTAAAAAAGTGGATATATAAAGTCAGGAAACAACAGATGCTGTAGAGGATGTGGAAAAATTGGAATGCTTTTACACTGCTGGTGGGAGTGTAAATTAGTTCAACCATTGTGGAAGACAGTGTGGCGATTTCTCAAGGAGCTAGAACTACAAATACCATTTGATCCAGCCATCCCATTACTGGGTATATACCCAAAGGATTATAAATCATGCTACTATAAAGACACATGCACACATGTGTTTATTGTGGCACTATTCACAATAGCAAAGACTTGGAACCAACCCAAATGTCCACCAATGATAGACTGGATTAAGAAAATGTGGCACATATAGAACATGGAATACTATGCAGCCATTAAAAAGGATGAGTTCATGGCCTTTGCAGGGATGTGGATGAAGCTGGAAACCATCATTCTGAGCACACTATCACAAGAACAGAAAACCAAACACTGCATGTTCTCACTCATAAGTGGGAGTTTAACAAGGAGAACACATGGACACAGGGTGGGGAACAACACACACTGGGGCCTGTCGGGGGATGGGGGGCTATGGGAGGGATAGCATTAGGAGAAACACCTAATGTAGGTGATGGGTTGATAGGTGCAGCAAATCACCATGGCATGTGTATGCCTATGTAACAAAACTGTACATTCTGCACATGTATCCCAGAACTTAAAGGTATGAAAAAAAAAGTGGATACATTAGATTCACTTTAGTGCATACTAACATCAACTCTGCTTTCCAGAAATGTAACGGATACCTGTGATAACTGCTAATTTTAATTTGGCACACATGCTAGCAGACATTGAAGTAGGAAATATGCCACAGATCAGGAACAGTTTTTCCATATGGTGCCTACAAACACAGGTGGGAATGCAGAATCAACATTTCTCATGACTCATTTAAGAAAGCTTGTTTGTCATTTGCATTTCAATAAAGCTAGAAAAATTAAAAAAAAAAGAGCCCTGAAGTACAAAAAGCCCTTATATATCTGCAGTAACTAAAACAAACAAATGCAATCAATGAAATAAATTATTTCTATTAAGATTTTTTTCCCTGGAGACTTTTTCCCCCTGGAGATTAAACAGCATATTCAATATCCATTTCCTGGCAGAATCAACGCTAGTAAATACTGGTTTTGCTGTCAGAACATTTTCTGAAAACGTTCTGGAAAAAAAAAAAAAAGAAAGAAATCATGGGGGAACAAAGCCCAGTGTTTTCAAATAAACTCTGAAAAAAAAAAAGCCACTTCTTCAAAAGGCCATAATTGCTTATCAATGTGCTTGGCTCTCCACGACTGTGTTGTCCTAGACAGCAAAAGAAGGTTTTCTTTTCTAGAACCTCACAGGAGGACAAAGATTTGCTGCTTCCTTGGTTGTGAGCCCAATCAGTAGGACCACTTCAGGGTGTTATAACTGGTTGGCACAGTTTCTGCTAGTTTCCAGTGCAATACTAAAAAAGGATTAAAAAACAAAACAAAACAAAACAGAAAACAGCAGCTTACTAATAAAAAAAGAAGCTACAGCATGGACTGTGAATTAAAGAGGTTGAGGTTGCCATTTTTTTTTTTTTTTTTTTTTAAGATGGAGTCTTGCTCTGTGGCCCAGGCTGGAGTGCAATAGCATGATCGCCACTCACCACAACCTCTGCCTCCTGGGTTCAAGTGATTCTCCTGCCTCCTAAGTAGCTGCGATTACAGGTGCACACCACCATGCCCAGCTAATTTTTTGTATTTTCAGGAGAGACGGGGTTTCACCATGTTGGCCAGGCTGAACTTGAATTCCTGACCTCGTGATATGCCTGCCTCGGCCTCCCAAAGTGCTGGGATTACAGGCGTGAGCCACTACGCCTGGCCGAGGTTGCCACTTAATACTATAAAATATATTTAAAAACTAACGCATCTGGAAAAATAAACTCAGAATTCTCCAAAGTATAGTAATAACAAAGTCACTAAACATAGTAGGTAATTGACATTCTAGATGATCAACATAGGGAAGAAAGGTTATTCTGAGAAAAGTAGTGAAGATGCTAGAATGCCAATTTCCTGAAGAAAGTTTATTTTTTTCTTTTTCTTTTTGAGAGTCTTGCTCTGGCACCCAGGCTGGAGTGCAGCCGCATGATCTTGGCTCGCTGCAGCTTCCACCTCCTGAGCTCAAGCCATCCTACTGCCAGCCTCCCAAGTAGCCAGGACAAGAGGTATGCACCACCACGCCCAGCTAATTTTTGTATTTTTTGTAGAGACAGGGTTTCACTACGTTGCCCAAGTGGTCTCAAACTCCTGGGCTCAAGGGATCCGCCAATCTCAGCCCCACAAAATGCTGGGATTACAGCTGTAAGTCCCTGAGACCGGCCTACATCCCTGAAGAAAATTTTAACCAATGACTGTTGACAAGTATTCTAAAGCCCCTGGTATCTGTTGCTGAAACTGCATCTCGAAATGTCAGTAAAACAAGAGTATGGGGAGGGGAATCTCAGGACATAGCCTGCTGAATCTCAGCCAGAGACACCAATAGGGTAGGTTTATTCAGGTAAAAAAAAATCCTGGTAAAAGATTATAAAGAAAAAAATAGTTGCCTAATCTAAACTCCTCCACCTAGTTCAAATATGATTGGTTAACCTAACATCAAGTGATCAAGGAA